TTAATTATCATTTTTACAATATAATGATCCTGCCGATGTGCCTGACCGCATCCATGTAACTACTCTCTTGTACCTGCTTAGGGCGTTATAGGTCTCCTGGGGTTATTTTCCTTGGCCATCTAATTTTTAGCTGATCACCCCCAAGGGACTTCCTTTATGCCATCCACCAAGAAAAAAAAAGGGACAAGCTCCCAGAAGTCCCTTACAACATACCTACTTAAAACGCACGAGATAAGCAACATGTCTCAAGAGAATACGGAACGAGCATCTCCATCCGGTCCCACGCAGGATATCGTAGTTCATCCATTAACTCAGGACAATGAATGTGCACAGCAACTTACAAAGGGGGACTTGGAATCTTGCCTGGAAACTATGTACACTAAGCTAGCTGCTAAATTCCAATCAGAACTCCACAAGAGCACGAATGTTCTATCCCAGGAAATAGCAGCATTGGGTTCCAGAACTGACCGCTTGGAAACCAAACATGATGAACTCAGCCGGGCTTATGGTGAGCTTTCCAGGGATCATGAACATTTACAGACAGCCTTTGCACAATTGCAGGCACAAGTTGAAGATCTTGATAATCGTAACCGCAGGAATAATTTGCGAGTCAGAGGAGTCCCGGAGTCTGTGAATGAGCTTCCAAAAGCCATGACCAAGCTATTCCAATCACTCCTCCCAGACCATGACACTGGTTCCTTTGCTTGTGACCACATTCACAGAGCCCTGCGTCCAAAACCTTCTATCGATAAACCTCCTCAAGACATTGTCCTTTGTATGAAGGAATTCCTGATTAAAGAAAATATACTCAGGGCTGCCCGCAATACCCCAACAATCACCTTTGAAGGCTCCATTTTGCCAATATTCCCAGATGTCTCTCCGGCTACGTTGGAGAGACGTAGAAAAATGAAGGAAATTACGTCCACCCCTTTTTTTCAGCTCGTATCCGCTATAAATGGGGCTTCCCCTTTAAGTGCATAGTCCCCCACAATGGCAGCGCATATACAGCTACATCTCTTCCTGAGGGCCAGGATATTCTGGCCAAATTGGGCTTGGTTGCTCCTCCTTCCCCTCGACGCCCTCCTTCCACTCCTTGGGTATCTCCAATATGGCACACTCCATCTCCGAGAAGGGAACGGAGGAGAGTCAGACAAGAACCAGGATGAACCGTTTAAATGGATTTTGCCCGTTTGTATCTCATACATCCTTTGGATGGTTTTCATTGTTACTGCTGAGATGTCTCTATATCCCTGCATATTATGTTGCGTTTTTGGTATTTATATCTGGATGTGTTAAAGTTTAACTAAGGTCTTTGGACCTATATTACACCGCCCGTATGTTAATGGTCTTAAGACTCTTGGACACGTGACCCCACCCTGGCGCTTGGCATTGCCGGAGATGTCACCGCCCGATTGATGGGTGGCAGCTCTGGTTTCCATGTTTCACAGCGTCAGGGTTTGGGCCTGATTGGCCCTTTGATGTTTGATTTTTCTGTTTTTTCAGGTATGACACATGGCCCACCTGATCCATGTTTTCTAGTTAACCTTTTATTTTAGAAGCTCTTAAAGCTTTACCTCTATTGCTTTCTATCTTTTTTTTTTTTTACAAAGCTTTAGTACATGATATTGGTTTTGTGATGATTTGTGGATGTCCTGGCGCCCACGCTGGGGTCTGGATGCTCCTTCAATTGTCACTACAGATTATTGCTCTGTTTGTTGTGGATCTGCTGATTCTAAAGTCTAACCAAATAGTTCTCAGAGATGTCCTGTCAAAATGTACTTTTATGCTGATAGGTATTATTTCCGTTTGCCATGGTTATTCAATGTATTTCGCATAATGTCCAGGGTTTCAATTCACCAAATAAGCGCAAAACAACCTTTCTTCAATACAAGCGATTAGGGGCTAAAATTATTTTACTACAGGAGACCCACTTTGCAGCAGCAAAACACCCAACATATTTTCATAAATCCTATAGGCAGGGCTATTACACTTTACATTCCTCTAAAAGCAGAGGTGTAGCCATTTTTTTGCATAATTCATTCCCTTTTGAGGTTCAACATGTGTACCGTGATCCGGACAGTAGGTTTATTATTCTTAAAGGCACCCTTTCGGGTCGTGAACTTACGATTGCTAATATCTATGCACCTAATTCGGCACAAGCTTCTTTTTTTTCCTCAATTTTTAATGTTCTGGATAGGTTTTTATCCCCCCATCTATTGGTGGGTGGTGATTTTAACCTGGTAGCAAACCTGCTTTTGGACCGTAGCTCCCCCTCGCAATCTTCCCAAGCTTTCCCAAAATCCCTTACTAAAAAACTGGATGCCCTCCAGTTGGTGGATGCCTGGAGGGCACATAATTTGGGAGCCAGGGATTATTCATTCTATTCTCACCCACACGACTCTTATGCTAGATTAGATTAGATTTACTGTACCCCCATTTTACTAGCTAATTCTAGGAAAGCTTGCATTCACTTGAGTCCCTGGTCAGATCACAATATAATAGCCTTATCTATCACGTTTATAGGGTTGGCACCTACCCCCTACTCTTGGAGACTTAATGACTCTATGCTCACTGATATTAACTCTCGCCAAGAGGTGGTTACTTCTATTCAAGAATATTTTCAATCTAATTCTACTCCTGATATACAGTATCTCCAGCCACACTTTGGGTAGCACATAAGGCGGTCCTACGCAGCCGCCTTATCTCCATGGCTTCTTCCAGAAATAGAAAGCAATGGCAGCAAATTCTACAACTTACCTGAGAATTAGAAGCACATCACAGAAGTCACATTGGGAACCCATCTCTCCTCAATAAACAGCTATTATCTCAAAAGCGTTTAGAGTTGAATACTCTACTTTCTCAAATGACTGAAAAAGCTCTTCGCTGGGCGAAGGCCTCGTTTTTATTACACAGCAACTCCGCGTCCACTATGTTTGCAAGGAAGTTGAATCACTCTTTGCGCCCCCCACATATCTATAAGTTACGCACTAACTCTGGCGCTGTATCGTCTCTTCTTCAAGAAGTTAATTGTATTTTTGAAAATTTTTATTCCAATCTATTAGCTTCTCCACAGTCGAATTCTGTTCCACCACCCAACTCGTGGCTGGGTTATATACCCCTCCCTGCTCTCTCACTTTCTCAATTAGCCTCTCTTAACCTCCTTGGCGGTATTCCCGAGTGTAGCTCGGGGTAACATTTCAGTACCAAGAGCGGTAACCCCGAGCTACACTTGGGAATACCATGCGGCACTGCTCCGGCATTTGTTCTTCACTTACCTTACCCAGCGCTCCCACGATGTGTCCCCTGCAGCGTCCCCGGCCATCTCCTCCGGCCGATGCCGGCATCCGGCTTCTGTGTCCTGTCCCTGTGACGTCGGGACGTACGGGCGCCGCCGCCAGCGGCGGGAAATTTAAAAATTTTAAAAAATGTCATTTTTTTTTTTACATTTTACATAGTAAAAACATTGCTGTCTCAACCAATTTCACATACATTTTGTCCCTAGTGCTTTGTTCTGCGTCCTGCCTGCATTTTGTCTGTTCTTTCTGCCTGGAAACTGAGAAACGTCCATGGCGTCCAAAAAGTGTCCCTTTAGGTCAAAAGCGGTTTAGATCAGCTAGAGAACAGCGATAGTAAATTAGAACTACTTGCAGAATTGAGTGATAATGACTCGTCAATGCAAAGCATGTCATCCTCAATCACATACACATGCCCTTCTAACACATTGGCCTTTTCACAGATTTTGTTTTCATATCATACCTAATTAACTGTATATATTTAATGCCTTTAAATGAATCTGTAGGAGTACTGAGAGATGCCCCACAGGTATGAACTGGCACTAAAACCTCTGTTATTGTAGGCGTATTTTTTCCTACAGCAGCCTGTGTTTGTGGAGCAGTGTCATGTACAAAAGCAGTACCTCCATATTGTCCATTCACAAATCCTGGCTGTTTTTATGGTGTACAATCTGGTAGCACCAGAGGGCAATGCTGGGACCAGTCTGTTGCTGGAGTGTGAGCATAGTGTTCCAACCTTGCATCGACCTTCCTTTGCTTGTCCCTCTGTTACTGTGGAGAGAGGGAGTTGCCACACGCTCAGATTGTGTCTTTATTCTTTTGGCCATCATCTCCCGTTAGAATAGTGTCTTGTTGCAAGTTCGGTTATAGGGAGGGAGGCAGTTTGCAGGAAATCTGGCAGAATATCTCCAATGCAGGGGATCAGTGGAGCTCTTTACAGAAGTGCGTGCCTAAATGGACAGCAAAGCCACACTTCCATCAGTGTACTCACTTTAACATAATTGCAGGCTACATTATTCTCCAGCTGTTCTTCATATTATCAGTCAGGATGTTCCTAGGCAAACAAAACCATTCTGCCATGAAAGAAGCATCCTATGTGTTTACTTTGAATTGTTGAATTAAAAATTAAATACATTGCAGAACATTTTTTTTCAGTGACACAACTTGGTTGACAGTTCTAGTACACTGCATATCATATACATTATCCTGAGAAAATGCAGTATTTTTCCATTGCTTCTCTGTTAACAGAAATCTAGGGCAGACATAATGCATTCACGCTTAAACAGATAATTTTTTTCTTTGTTTTAACCACTTGCCTACCGGGCACATATACCCCCTTCCTGCCCAGGCCAATTTTCAGCTTTCAGTGCTGTCGCACTTTGAATGACAATTGCACAGTCATGCAACATTGTACTCATTAAATTTGTATCATTTTTTTTGAGACAGATAGAGCTTTCTTTTGGTGGTATTTAATCACCTCTGGGTTTTTATTTTTCTAAACAAACCAAAAACAACTGAATATTTTGAAAAAAAGTTTCTTAGTTTTTGTTACAAAATTTTGTAAATAAGTGATTTTTCTCCTTCGCTGATGTGCGCTAATAAGGCTGCAGTGATGGGCACTGATAGGCACTGATGAGGAGGCACTGATGGGCATTGACAGGCATCACTGATGGGCACTGAAAGACAGCACTCATATATGGCACTGATAGGCGGCACTGGTAGGTGGCACTGACTGGCACTGTTAGGTGGCACTGACGGGCACTGATAGGCAGCACTGACGGGCAATGATAGGCGGCACTGATGCGCACTGATAGGCGGCAACGTCTGGCACTGATAGGTGGAACTGAAAGGCAGCTCAGATGGGCACTGATATGTGGCATTGATGTGGCACTGATGGGCACTAGCAGGTGGCATTGATGGGCACTGACAGGTGGCACTGATGGGGCTACACTGACCATCAGGGCACAATGATCATCAGTGCCCTGTTGATCAGTGTACATGTCCCCTCTGAGTAATGCCGATTACCTGCTCACTCTCCTCATGAGCTGTCAGCGTGACAGCTCGTGAGGAGAGGAATGCTGATAACCGGCATTTCCTTATTTTACATGTGATCAGCTGTGATTGGACACCACTGATCACATGACAGAGCCGACGTCATCGGTCCTTTCAGTTAATCGGTGATCCACTGTGTCCCAGGGACACAGCGCAGCACCGATCGGTGCGCACGCACAGTTAGAGTGGGAGGATGTCATATGACGTCCTCCCAGAACAAGAGAACCGCCTTGCACCCGTCATTTCCTTATATGGCGGGAGGGAGGCGGTTAAACCAATCTTTTATTTTTAGGGAGGTTAGTTCAGACCAAATCTGATCTTTCTATGCACTACCACAACACATGCAATTTACAAATCACACCTGAAGTCGCATCTAATGTATTTCTGTGGCGCTGTCTTAATAAGTGTGATTTCAGGTAGTGCAATTTGAAAAATAGTTCCTGCATTACTTTTTTACCACTTCAGTGTGATTTAACTCCGATAGACTATAAGGTAAATGGCACTGAAATTACACTTGTGTCTATATCGGCGCTACTTTGAAGTCGCGCTTTAAATGGGACCAAATCGCACCACTTTGAAATCACATTCGGGCTTCAGTAGGGTTGCACCGATACCATTTTTTTACATATAAAAATGAATGGCTCAAATCACACTGCAAATCGCACTGCACCCACAGGGAAACCACATACGATTTGAACAGAGATCACACTGCTACTTCAGCTGAAGTAGTGCAATTTCAGTTCAAATCGCATTCGATTCTTTGCAGTGTGTTTTGAGCCCATTCATCGCAAAGGTATGTGTTTCAGGTATTGGAACATTTGCAGGAGTAGGAGTACTCGTGCAAATGCTTAGTATCGGCACCAGTATCGGTGCAACCTTAGTTTTGAGGTAAGCTTTTCATTATGTGCTAGTATTCAATGCATGCTAGCACATTATGCCATTACCCTGCAGGGATGAAAGTTTTTTTTTTTTGTTTTTTTTTTCTTTTTGCAACTTTACAACCGCTATAAGTTTAGGATTTTCCCAGAACACCCAGATCCTTCTTGACTCCCCCAGTTGTTTCCCCCAAGCTCATAACTTTACATTTATCAATGTTAAACCTCATTTGCTACATAGTTCCCAATCGAATAGTGAATTAAGGTCTGCTTGAATGTTAGAAACAACCTTTAAGGCATTAAAGATGTTTTTCCCTTGCATAGCCTGGTATCATCTGCAAATACTGAATTGGTACTTTTTTGTATTTCAATGGTTTTTATTAATTTTAAACAGTATAAAACAGAGGCAACAAAACACGCCCACGCAGGGGCTATCAATTGCACCGATAGAAAATGCATAATAGAGCAGACAACGCTCTAATTCCAATAAGGCAAAACGTATGCCCACGCAGGGGCTACCAATGGCACATAGGTTACAATAACATCAGTGAAACTCAGATTATCGCAACTAAAGACAGCTGTCCACTGTCACATCAAAACAAACAGAAAAGGAGAGAAGAGCAGAGAAGAAAGAAAGAGAAAGAAACAAAAAAAAAAAAAAACAAAAACACACACCAAAGAGCAAGGGTCCAGGAGTGCCAATACAAAAACTCCATCACCTCCCTATACTGGCCGGGGGGACTGTGGGAAAGGCATATTGCAACCACGGCTCCCATATTTTCAAAAATTTATGTTGAGAGTTGTTGCATATACTCAAAATCTGTTCATTGAGCATCATAGTAGTCATACGATCCCGCACCCCCTGAAAAAGTACAAACGGACTCTTCCAGGCCTGAGCAATAGTCCTAGTGGCCGATAAAAACAAATAGGAAGCCAACCGCTGCTGACGAGCCAAGAGGCCCGGTATGGGGCAATGAAGCAAAGCATACCGAGCATCCCGGCGTATGGAGAGATGAAACAAAGTGAAAAGGAGGCCAAACACACGAGACCAAAAACGAACCAATCTCGGGCATGACCACCAGATATGCAGTACATCGCCACGATGGCCACAACCCCGAAAACATCAATCACTACAGGCAGGGTTATCCTGGGCCAAACGAGCCGGCACCCAATACCAACGAAACAATACCTTATAGGCTGCTTGTCCAGCGTGGTCGTATTAAACGAATATTTAGCAATGAGTGACAAGGCTTTATTCCAGTCCTCCCGATCCACAGCCACTCCCAGGTCGCGTTCCCACCGAACTACATATGAAAGAGAAGTGTGCGACGAGCATCTGTTCAAAGCTGCGTAAAGAAGGGAGATAAGGCCCGGGGCGCCCGGACGCTGCTGGCAAAGCCGTTCAAAGGCAGATTTCTGATATGGGAAAGCAGAAGTGGCCCTCAGCGAGAGTAGCCAGTGCCGCAATTGAAGGTACCGAAAAAATTCCGCTGGGGGAACATCCCGAGACTCTCGGAGGACATTCCAGGTGGGAAAGGACCGAAAAATCAAAAAGTGTTGCACCTGTGAGAAACCATGAGCCACCCACCAAGAAAATGCCCTCGGGTGATCTAGACCCGGCGGGAAAAGAGGGTTATTAACGATTGGAAGCAAGGGAAAAAAGGGTGACATCAGGCCACTGGAGTAACGTACCGAGTCCCAGACTCGTAGGCCATGGAGCAACATCGGACTCAGCGCCATAGGGCGCAGGGGGGGGAAGCCATAGAAGTGTCGACAGTGCGATAGGGGCACAATTAGATAGTTCCAGCAGGACCCAGAGAGGAACATCGGAGGAAGCGTGCAACATAGACAGCGGGGCAATTTGGCTCGCCTGATAACACTGTTCAACAAATTTTTATTTTTTGCCAGTTTTGGAAACAAAAGGATCCATTTCTTAATGAATTTCACATTCTGAGTTCAAATATAACAATTAAATTTGTCAATTGGCTCTAGTTTTTTTGTAAACGGAAAGTTTTCTACTATAGGCGTAATGACTACATAATGCACAATAATTATATAGATAGATGTCTTTCCACAAATATAAAGAAAGTGATATTGACTACATAACAAAGCCTAAATGGCATAATATATTGCATAGGATTACCAAGAAAAATTATAGCCATAAGCTAAGTTGAATCATTTTAATACTTAGGATTCTCACTAGTTTTGTCTTCAGTTTGTGTTGGTTTTGCTTCTCTTGGCTTTTCTCTTGTATTCGAGGAAAGGGCTATCTCTTACAACTGCACGTGACTACATGCTTCAGGTTCTTCCTCACTTGACTCAACCACGAAGGATTCTGGTGCTTTAGGAATTGGTAGCCCCTCTCCATGAGGAACTGGACGTATTGCCGATGGAATATTTGGATAGTGCACAGATAACTTTTTCTTCTTATTTAGCCCTTTTACAATTGGGGCACCATACAAAAGTAACAATTACTAACATGATCTGTTGGCTCTCTCCAAATCATTGGCACAGCGAAAGGCATAGATGCCTTTTTTCCATTCAACCATTGCTCCAGTGACGTCCCACAAGAATTGCAGCATATATGTGGTGCCCAGCTCTTGTCCTGGTCTCCTATCTTGCAGCCAAAATACAAGTTGTAGGCTTTCTTATTCATTCCTGTTATCCTCCTCCTTTTTTGTGAGATAAAAGTTATTTCACCGCAGATATAGCAGAAATTATCTGCTTTATTCACACAAGTTCGAGACATTACTGAGTAGCCTATATAAGCATAAAACGAAATGTAAAGACGCTGTCGAACTACAATCAGCTACAGATACTGCAGCTTTTATGCAGTGAAGTGATGCAATTAAAGGCTAATATTGCATCATCTCAGTATACATGCAATTTTCTATTGGTCACCAGTATCAATTGCGCAATATGCAGCTGAAGTTGCATCATAATTTTGAATGGCTTACGTCATTAGATGGGTGAATATATCATGGAAACTAGAGCCAATCAACATTTTTTAGGGTCATTTTCGTTTTCAGCACCCCAAAATTATGTAAGATTAGCTAATTTTATGCCCAAAACTTTTTACCTGTTGAACAGTGTAATACTTAGTTACATTGGGTACCCCAAGAACACCTTGGAGTCTATGAGCAAAGAGCGTATTTCTAGAGACTCTGAGATGCTTATTGGCCCAGATAAAACGCATAAACTTCGCCTGAAGCAACCGAAGAAAATGAGGGGGAACCCGCACTGGGAGGGTGCAAAAATAATATAACAATTTCGGCAAGATGGTCATTTTCACTGAATGAACCTGTCCTATCCAAGACAGGTGCGGAAATTGCCAGGAATGCATAAGAGAAGATAAGGAGCTAAGCAAAGGATAATAATTTGCAGCAAAAAGGGAGTCATAGGTGGGGGTCAAGTGAATGCCCAAGTATTCAAGAGAAGAGGAAGCCCACCGGTAAGGGAAGTGGGATTGTAGGCGCGAAACCAAATCTGAAGCCAAAGTAATATTGAGAGCAACGGTTTTATCCAAATTAATACGTAGACCCGAGATCAAGGAGAAGCGCTCAAGAACCCGTTGCAAATTAGGAAGCGTCGTCAGAGGATTAGTAAGGGTCAAGAGGGCATCGTCCGCAAAGAGGCTCAGCAATCGAAATTTTTCCGAAAATGGCGGCTGACATGTGCGGCGACGGAGCGGGGGGGGGATGTCGGGGGGAAGGCGCGCAGACAAGGCGCGCTGCCCCATAATGCATTCCTCAACGACATGTGATCGCATCATCAGCCAATCAGCAGCCAGCCAGCCAGCACTGTGTAATGGTCGAGGTATATATAGCGGCCATTTTGGAAATCTTCATTTGCCTGCAGTCATTGAACAGAGGCAGACCGCTCTGTACTAGGGACAGGGACAGAGTTAGGGCCACAGAAACGAGAATTGGGGACAGAGAGAAGTTACTTAGGGACAGAGAACCATTACTCAGGGACACAGACTTGTTAATGAGGGCCACAGAATCGTTATTTAGGGACAAAGAAACGCTAGTTAGGGCCACAGAATTCATACTCAGGGACAGACAGAATTTTTACTCAGTGCCAGAGAATTGTTACTTAGGGCCACAGAAACGTTATTAGGGCCACAGAATTTTTACTCAGGGACAGACAGAATTGTTACTGAGTGCCAGAGAATTGTTACTCAGGGACAGACAGAATTGTTACTGAGTGCCAGAGAATTCTTACTCAGGGCCACAGAATTCATTCTCA